AGGTTGAAATGCAGAGAATCTCCCTTTGAAGCTAGCCCATGCAGAACAGTCCTCAAGATTCTATCTCCTATTATCTAGCAAAAAGCTGAGGCAGGGAGGGGCATTGCTGAAGAGTTGAAACTCCCATGCTAGTAGTTGCATACAATACACACTTACCATGTGTAATCACATTAACTGATTGTGAAATACTGAAAACATAAACATTCATATCTGTAGGGATCCTTAAGATTACATGAACTCTCCACTAGGAGCATCTTTGACAAAATATTGCAGTTCTAAAGAAAATTTTCAAATAGATTTTTGGTTGCTAAGTGCTGAAATAATTAGATGTGAACTCTCCTGATAACTACAACTGACTTACACATAATTCAGCAGAAAGTATAAAAATAGAAATGTTATGAATTTTCCATAATTGTTTCTTGATATATTTTTTAAAGTTACTTAACAGGCTAGAGGTATGGATCAAGTTGTAGTGTGCCTATCTAGCAAGCTTGCAGCCTTGAATTCAATCCCTAGTATCATAACAACAACAAACATGTCATTTGAAACAGTTCGCCAAATTTCAGATATTTTTGTGTAAGTAAAGTATTTTTTGTATTAGTTAGGAAATACTTTGTGAGTGAAATGGTTACTTTAGATCTTTGAGGTAGTAGATGAAGAGCGACTTCTTCATATTGCTTCATACTCTGGAATTACTGTCCATGCTTGAATCCTATTTAATGAAATTTCTGGTAACCTTGAGACAAGCCCAGACTGTGGCATTAAACTGACTTTCCCTGTATTCTTTCTACTATAGACCACTATAAAAGAGACAGTTAAAAATATTTTGGTTTTACTTAAAAGCATTCTTGTTGAAAAAGGAAAAAAATGTACTTATTTATGCTTTTATACTGAGTTATATGTGTATTATTGATAAATAATATGAAATTATATATAAATTATATATCATTATATAATTTATAAAACTTTTATTCTTTTTTGTAAGTTTTTTTCTATTTTCTTTCCTTCCTTCCTTCCTTCTTTCTTTTTCTTTCTTTCTCTCTTTCTTTCTTTTTTCTTTTTTTCTTTCTCTTTCTTTCTTTCTTTTTTCTTTCTTTCTCTCTCTTTCTTTCTCTCTCTCTTTCTCTCTCTTTCTCTTTTTCTTTCTCTCTTTTTTTCTCTCTCTCTTTCTTTCGTCAGTCCTGGGCCTTAAACTCAGATCCTCAGCATTGTCCCTGAGTTTCTTTTGCTTAAGGATAGCACTCTACCACTTGAGCCACAGTGCCACTTCTGGCCTTTTTTGTTTATGTGGTACTGAGGAATCCAACTCAGGACTTGAAGCCTGTTAAGCAAGTACTCGACCACCAAGCTACATTCCCAGCCCATTTTTCCCATTTTTTTTTTTCATTTTCTTGAGCATGTTCTTTGTAGCACAAAGGTTTAGATTCTTCTACTTGTTCTTCCCTTTGTCACTGGGATGATAGGTGAATGCCACCATGCCCAGCCATTGAATAAGATGCAGTCTCTCAAATTTTTATGCCTGAGCTGGCTCTGCGCCTTAATCCCTGATCTTTGCCTCTCAAGTAGCTAGTAACTGTGAGCCGCTCAAAGATTTTTAAATTTTATGATTTCCTTTTTCTTCTTGTTGCTGTGCATTTCAACACATAAAAATATAGACAAACATTTTGAAATGGGCCTTATAAGATGCATTAGTGCTATTTTATTTGTGTGCTTTTTGACTAGCAAATATTCCTTTGTGGTAAAATATACTGTATTAGTTTGCTAAGGTTGTTATAACAAAATACTAGCCCAGATCACGTAGATAAACATACTTTCTTAGAGTCTGGAGAGCAAAAGATGTTGGTAGGAATGAATTCTTGTAAGGTTTTTCTGTTTTAGGATTGCAGATGGCCATTTTCTTCTCACATCTTCACATAGACTTACCTGTGTTTCTGTTCCCTAATCTGTCTACTTTCAAGGATACTCATATTTCTCCAAAACTCACCTTAAAGACCTCATTGACATAATATAACTCTTTAAAGACCCATGCTAGGACTATAGTCATATTTGGAAGTACTGGAGGATAGGGTTTCAAAGCTTGACTTTTGGAATGTGGAATGTAATGCAGTTCATGGGAGATAATACAGCATTTGCTATTGAAAACATGTTGTAGCTTACTGGTATACAGTACATTTGCATTCTTTTTTTAATAAGTTTTTTATTGTGAAAATACTGTACAGAGGGGTTACAGTTACATGTAATGAGTAATGTAATGAGTACATTTCTTATCAAGTATTGTTGCCTCCTTTGTTTTTCCCCTACTATCCCTTCCCTCCCACCTCCACAACTACACTCCCTCCCCCCCCCCCCCCCGCCTAAATTATAAAGTTCATTTTTCAACATAGTGTCTTGTACATCTCATTGTTGCAATGGGTCAACTTGTATCCCTATTTAAACATTTTGTTTTTTTCCTTTCCCTCCCCAAATTATACCAACATCAAATACAGTGAAAACAGGGGTTATACCGTGAGGGAGGAACATACGAAGCAACAAAAAAATCACATGGTACCTTATAAATATGTTAGAAAAAATGGCAAGAAAAAAAAATCACTTGTGTCCCTCTCTTGGGGTTCATTTTGCTTAACTTCTTCTTATTTGGTCATATATACATAGCTTTTGACCTTTTCTACTTGTCCCAGACATATACTAGTTATTGCAAATAAGGGACACCATGGGATCTATGTTTCTTTGGGCCTGGCTTACTTCACTTAATATAATTTTTTCCAAGTCTTTCCATTTCCTAACAAATGAGGCAATGTCATTCTTTCTGATGGAGGCATAGAATTCATTGTGTATATATACCACATTTTCTTGATCCATTCATCTACTAAGGGGCATCTGGGTTGGTTCCATATCTTAGCTATGGTAAAGAATGCTGCAATAAACATAGTTGTGCTGGTAGCTTTAGTATGGTCTTGTTTGTGATCATTTTGGTAAATGCCCAAAAGTAGGATTGCTGGGTCATAGGGGAGCTCTATGTGGAATCTTTTGAGGAACCTCCATACTGCTTTCCAAAGTGATTGAACACTCCCACCAAAAATGCAGTAGGATTCCCTTCTGGCCACATCCCCAATTGAAAACCCAGAAATGAACCCATAGATCGATAGCCACCTAATCTTCTATAAGGAAGCTAAAAAAATAGAATGGAAGAAAGATAGCCTCTTCAGTAAATGGTGCTGGCAAATTTGGTTATTCACCTGTAGAAAACTAAAGCTAGATCCTTATATATCACCCTGAACCATAATCAACTCCAAATCGATCAAAGACCTCAGACTCAAAGCAGACACCCTGAAAACATGACAGGATGGAATAGGAGAAACCCTAGGTCTCCTTGGTACAGGCCGAAATTTTCTTAATAGAGACCCAGATACACAACAAATCAAAGAAAGGTTGGACAAATGGGATTGCACGAAGTTGCAGAGCTTCTGCATGGCAAAGGACATAGCTAGCAAGATCAATAGAAAGCCCACGGATTGGGAGAAGATCTTCACTAGCCATACAATGGACAAGGGTCTCATATCTAAAATATACCTGGAATTCAAAAAGTTAAATCCCCCAACAACAATTCCTCAAAGAAACAACTGCCCAATAAATAAGTGGGCTAAAGACTTAAACTTCTGTGAAGAGGAAAAAAGGATGACCAATAGACCCATGAAGACATGCTCAACCTCCCTAGCCATAAAAGAAATGCAAATCAAAACAACATGGAGATACCACCTCACCCCAGTTAGAATGGCTATAATCAAGAACTCCAATAACAACATTTTCATTCTTTTATAACCATCTCCACCATCCCTGCTGCCAAGTGAATCCTTACCCATGTAGTAATAGTTCCTCCTGTCCCCTCCTCCTAACTCCTGGAAACCACCCTTCTGCTTTTGTAAAGCACAGTGCTTTGAGACAGGTATTTTCCCACATTAGCATCACTCTTCAAAGCTCTCCAAGATTAAAGTTGTTGTATTTATGCTAAACCTAAACAATATACACAGCTTTTAAGAGATTTGTGAAACTGAAGTCAAATATATCATTATACGTTTATGTGTACATCTGCTTTTTCCTTGGGACAGGATCTTTTTATGGAAGCCCTAGAATTTTATACCAGTCTTTTTTTTTTTTTCATTTCTAAAAACAAAAAACAACTCCCTCCCAAAAAACTTCCAAGTCTAGGTTTTTAAACTCCTAATTTTATATTGATAAATTGATGAATCATTCAGGAAAACAGGCAAAGAGTATTTAAATACGGAGTCTAGTATTTGGTTTGCTATTTCTAAAAACATGTTTTACATTACTTTGTTTTGTTGTAGTCTAGGGGTTTCAACTTAAGGGTTTTGTGCTGTTGAGGAAGGTGTTCTGCCCCTTGAGTCATGTATCAGCTATTTTTTGTCTAGGCTGGCTTCAACTTTGATTCTCCTATTTATACTTCCTCCAATAGCTGGGATCACAGGAAGGCACCCCCCATTCTCAGCTATTGATTGAGATGAAGTCTTGCTAACTTTTTGCCTGGAATACCCTCAAATGAAGATTCTCTCAGTCACGGACTCCTGAGCAGTTATGATCCTGTGAGCCACCACACTTGGCCTAAATGTCAATCTTAAAGAAGTATTTCCCACATAAAGTGACCTTTCAAAGAATGTTGTCATTTCATTTTTTCATATCTTTAATCAGTAAACATTTGAGTATTATAATATGAACATTTGACAGACACAGCTGACTAAGATGGGTTTTATTTGTATTTTTTATCTTTAAGGAGGCAAAAGTCAATTTTTAATACATTTTTGATCATGTCATTAAAACTTTTTCACTGGTTGTTTTTTTTTCCCAAAGATTATTGGTAAAATACTGTTTGTTTTCAAATGTGCTCTAAATATATGTACATTAATATCATAGTGTCATATTTAAGTGTTTGTCATATTTAAAAACAGTATTTACCTTAGCTTTGTGTTTTTTAAATTTCTTTTTAGTAGCTACGAGGAAGACCAGATAGATGAAGAAGAACTAATGGAACCTCTGAAATATGCTGAACAACTTCCTGTAGCTCAGATAATACACCAGGTTTGTTCTCCATTTTATTCTTTTGTAAACAAGAAGATTTTTAATCTCGGGAAAGTAATTGCTTTTGTTAGCTTTCTCAGAATCAATGTGCTTGAGCTGAAAGGCATTGCAGGCTGTCTGTCCCTGTTTAGGCTTCACCTCTTACAGTTAAAAGTCTCCCTCAATGCACATTATTCAAAGGCTACTTGCTGTGTAACACCAGAATTCTCACTTATTTAAAATATGGGGTTATCAAGATTATCTTTTGTGCATTACACAGTGACAAGAGTTAATTTCAGAAAACTTTCATTTTGAGCCATTTTATATAATACTTGTTAGTGACAAGGAGAAAGAGCCAAAAATACCATTTGGTTCAGTATTTTTGGAATTGCTACAAAGAAAAAACATTGTTGCCCAACTTTGTCCTCCTTACCCCATTATCAACCGAGTAACGCATAATTTCAAATGTCCTGTGGACAGTTTGTTCATTTCCAATTATAATAACTCTCATCCTCTCCACACTTGTTATCCTAGGAAAGGCACTTTTGTAAGTATTTAAGCTTAGATTTTTCTAGTATAATTTTGAAAACACATAACCTGTGACCTCCAGAGGGCCAGAATCTAATCATTTTAAATAGTGTATTGACTAAGTCATAGCTTTTAGACCTAGCAGAGTTTCCAGATTCTTACAGATTAGAGGAAATATTTTTTTAAAAAAAACCATCCATGTCACAAGTTTCTCTTTCAGAATGTTGATTATTATTTTGAGATTTTCCATCTGTCTTTCTCATTCAAAAGGATTTTTGTTTAGCTGGTATGATTGATGAGATGTGCCAGTTTAAGCTTATTAAAAGGCTTTTAATTTCAGATGTTGGCTATATCTTTTCATTGATACTGAAATTTAGTATTAAAATGCTGTGAAAAATAACCAGAAAAGTGAGAAATATGCCCCTCTGGGAAACTTACCTGTGCATGGTAATAAGGTTCAGTTTATATGTCAGGAATTCCCTAGTGTTGTCAGAGCCGAAATGACCTAACAGTCTGCAAATGTCACATTTAAAATTCTGTCTTCATGCCTGACTCTCAGCATAAATGAATTAAATAGCAGAGCAGGCAGCCAGTCAATATGTTCTTAACAGTAAGAATGAGCAATGTAACAGTTTATGGTTTGCTCAGAATAGGTAAATAGGATCTGCCCAAGAACGGTTCACCTAGGATAAAATCTGAAAGCCGAAGCAAGAATTAACCTTTACGATGGTTGACCAGATGAAATGTCAGTAATATTTTTATAACATGAATGAATAAACTTCTTGGTTTATGTCACAGCTGTGGTTTGCTATTATGCACTGTGTAAACTCAAAGATGAAATACTTAGCCCTAGTAAAAATTTCACATTGTAGGGTTGTTTATTCTTTGGCAGTATAAAGTATTGTATTAATGTTAACACTGAATTATAAACATATGATAATTAAAATTCTAAGTGCCTGATTTGATCAGATTTCACTCTTTTGAAACACATTTTGCATGGTAGTTGATTGTATTTTTATTGAACAAAGATGTTAGTGTAAGTTAGAAGCTGCCAAAGAAATGGGGCTTATGAGGGAGGAGCTAGGGATGGAAGCAACTTTAGCAGTAGAAGAGAGAAATGAGTCTCAGTCATTTAAGCAATCATTGTATATGGTACAGTGCTGTTTACAATGAGTAGCTAGTTAGGATTCTAGGTATTATTATTTTGTACTAAATTTACCATTTTTTTCCAGTGGTTCAAGCAAATATGATTATGTGACTAGGAAACCCAACAGGCTAAAGTTAATTAGTAAATTACTCTGATGCGATAGAAGCTAAGTAAAAATAGAATCTTTATGTGGGCAGTAAACCCATAGAAATGTATATGGGAAAATTTCTCTGTCACAATAATGAAAAGGACTATAAAATAATTACAATTAAATTTAACAAGCAAACAGTAGGTCCTCCAGTATAAGATATGGAAATATATTGTGTTTTTGGAATGTAGACATACTAAACTCTTGATGATAGGGAAAAAAATTCCATAAAAGTACAAATTGTCCCAAATTAACAATCTTCAATTATAGTGGAAACAAATTGTTCTCCTCCTCCTCCTCCTCCTCCTCCTCCTCCTCCTCTTCTTTCCATCACAGGGTTTGAACTCTGGGCTTAGGCGCTGTCCCTGAGCTCTTTCTGGTGGTTAATTGGAGATAAGAGTCTCATGGACTTTCCTACCCACATCCTCAGATCTCAGCCTCGTGAATAGCTAGGATTACAGGTGTGAGCCACTGGCACCCGGCTTTTGTTTTCATTTTTTTTAAAAGATCATGTAATGTATGAGGAAGAACAAATGTCTATGAATAACCATATAAAGTATGTAAAAGTTTGAATCAGCATTTTGCAAATGCAAACAGTCAAGTAAGTATAGGTAAAAGAATACACAAATGGGTCAAGAGAGCACAAAGGAGTATTCTAATTCACTGCTTCTAATTCATGACCAGACATGGATACAGTGATTCTTGATGTGAAAGTGTATAAACAAAAGTTTCATGACAGGTTTATTATTAATTGATATATACATTAATATTTTCTTTTTCTGTTTTATATTTTGCAATACCAATAACACTAAGTGTACAGGAATAAAGAATCTGAAAAAAATAATTATTTGACAATTTAAGATATAAACCTGTGTTTCATTATGTACCTAAGATACATTTTGTATATTAAAGACTTGTGTTAAATAAATAATTAAAGGTGTTGGATGAACATTTAAGCTACTGAACGAATAATCCTAGAAGTAGAGAAGAACCTTTTAATGACCATAAAACCTAGGAGATATGTGCAGTGCCATAAAAATAGAGTATCTTATATAACATAAAGACCATAAAGTTAGAAATTTTAGAATCAAGACAAATATGTCTACAAAGAGGACAATGCAAAATGATTTAGTTTACAAGGAACTCTTGCAAGTTTATAAAAGGTAAACAAAAAAAAAGCTCAATAAGGAAAAAAAGACAACAGACATGACAAATGATTTAGAGAAAAACAAATCAAATGGCCATTGAATAAAAAAGAGCCTCCAACTTAGTAAGGAAATCTACATTACAGATTCAGTGAAATTATTTAACCATTAAACTGGCAAAATTTAAACCACACATTGGAACTAAATGTGATAGTTTCTTAAAAGATTTAACAGTTATCACATGATCTAGTGATTCTAGCATAAGTGTATACCCAATAGATATGAAAACATACGTCCACTTAAATCAAATGCTCATTGCAGCATCAGTGTTCATAGTCAAGAACTGTAGGCAACCTAAATGCTCACAAACTGGTGAATAGATAAATAAAATATTACGTATCCATATGGCAGAATATTGATCAGCAATGAAACAGAATGAAGTACAATTACTTTGTACGACACAGATGAATTGTCTAACTTATAAGCATTATGTTAATAGAGCGAAGCCAGTCGCAAACCCCCCACATATTGTATGGCTCTATTTCTATAGGCTCTATTTCTTTCTTTCTTCCTTTTTTTTTTTTTTTGTCGTCCTGGGGCTTGGGTGCTGTCCCTGTGCTCTTAAGCTCAAGGCGAGTACTCTACCGTTTAAGCCACAGCGCCACTTCCAGTTTTCTAGTGGTTTATTGGAGGTAAGAGTCTCACAGACTTTCTTGCTCGGGCTGGCTTTGAACTGTGAACCTCAAATTTCAGCCTCCTGAATAGCTAGGATTACAGGCGTGAGCCACCCCCGTCTCCCGGCTTAAAGGCTCTATTTCTATAGAGCATCCAGAGCCATAGAAACAGACAGTAGCTAAATGGTTGTCCAGCTCTGAAATTAGGTGGGAGAATGGGTACTGCCTGCTAATGGCAGGCACATAGTTTCTGCTTTGGAGTGATGAAAATGTTCCAACGTTAATGGTCACCATTGCATACCACTGAGATAATTCTAAAGCTGCTGAATTTTAAAAGGTGAATATTATATATTTATCCCAATAAAGATCTCTTAAAAATTAAAATCACCTCTTTCTGGCAGAGATTCCAGAAAAAAAGGTACTGTGTACACTTATGGCAGTTACTTTTCCAACCTTTCAAGAAGATCACCTGGTAACATCTCATTTGTTATAAACCATATTCTTCAGCACAGTGGTGACACTATTGAATATCATGCTTGGCCACGTTCTTGAGAATCTAGTCCGTACTTCTAATATATGAATAAAAGGGCTAATATCTGAGAACCTCAGTACATTGATATTTATAGCAGCCTTACTGTGGCCACAAACTAGAAACAATAAATATTTCACCATTGATGATACAGTGTCTATGATTTTCAGAAGCTGAAATGCAGTAAAACAAATGTTTCTCTTTCTTTTTTTTGTAATTGGATTTATTTTCTTATCAGCTAACCTTCTCTCCCCCCCTCTTTCTGCTTCATGCAGAAAATTTAATCTAGTCACTTCTAGATAAAGTTACTCACACTCAGTTTCCTCCCTCCGTCATCTGTTCCTTCCTAGGAAGATGGAATCATAGCTCAGGTAATAAATAAGGTTAGTTGACATGGCTTTATGATGCTAAGAAATTCAAAAGTGTTCTTCTGCTTAGGCACACTGTTAGACTATGTGACATTTATCCGTTTCACTCACTAAGATGGTGTGCACCGCACATGTGTTAACACTTGTAATTCCTCTAGACATGGTTGCATAGTTGTGATAAAGTGAGAGGACAGCAGGTAATGGGAACAAACAGCTCCTTGTTTGCTGTTGTTCATTCTCTATCTTAAGTCCCCTTTTATGTCATTCTCCCTTTTCTTTCTTCTTCCTAATAATTTATTCTCACTCTATAAGCAAATATGAGACAAATTCTTGCCCAGTACTTGTGAATATTATTAGTATTTTTGTAGAGAAGTTGATTAAATGGACTGTCTGATACATAGTAGAGACTAGGTTAATACGGTTGCCATTGAATTCAGGTTTCTTTTATATGGAGAAGTAAAGAAAGTTAGGTTCTGTAAAGG